CTGGGCAACAGAGCAAGACTCCGTCTCAAAAAAAAAAAAATTAGCCAGGCATGGTGGCATGCACCTGAAGTCCCAGCTACTTGGGAGGCCGAGGCAGAAGAATTACTTGAACCCGGAAGGCAGAGGTTGCAGTGAGCGAGATCACGCCACTACACTCCAGCCTGTGTGATAGAGCAAGATTCTGTCTCAAAATAATAATAATAATAATAATAATAATTCATTAAGTCCTATTACACCAGCTAAAAGCCAGTATCCCTTAAGTTTCTAAAATAATCATTTTTAAAAGACTTAGAAATAATTTAGAAAAAAATACAATTAAAGAAATTGGGTAACTTAAATGTACACCTACGATCCTTGATCAAAAATCAGGAGTAGGTAAGGATTGCTCTAAACCATGTGACTACATTCTGACCCAAATGTGATTACATCCTGTTCCTTGGTGCCACTGTCAGAAATGGACTCTTAACACTGTCAAATACAGCACTGTTTTTGTTTTTTTTTTAGTAAGTCTTATAATAAACTACATAAGGTGATCTACAGATTCAACATACCCTCTATCAAAATTAGACTAGTCTTTTTTACAGAAATGAAAAAACTGGTCGTAAAATTCATATGGAAATTGGGTGGGCCCTAATTTGCCAAGAAAATCTTGAAAAAGAACAAAGTCAGAGGACTCACACTTCCCAATTTCAAAATTTACTACAAAGCTATAGTAATCAAAACAGTGTGGTACTTAGGCCAAAAGGATAGAAGTAGGAGTCCAGAAATCAACTCATACATCAATGGCCAATTGATTTTTTGTGTGTGAGTGTTAAATTAACAGGACTTTTTTTTCCTTATGTTTTCTTTTTTTTTTTTTTTTAATTTTTTATTTCCACAGGTTATTGGGGAACAGGTGGCACTTGGTTATATAAGTTCTTTAGTGGTGATCTGTGAGATTTTGGTGCACCCACCACCCAAGCAGTATACGCTGCACCCAATTTGTAGTCTTTTATCCCTCACCCCCTTCTCACACTTCCCCCCGAGTCCCCAAAATCCATTGTGTCATTCTTATGCCTCTGTATCCTCATAGATTAGTTCCCACTTATGAGTGAGAACATATGATGTTTGGTTTTCCATTTCTGAGTTACTTCACTCAAAATAATAGTCTCCAGTCTCATCTAGGTTACTGCAAATGATTGACCAGTTGGTTTTTGACAAGGATGTCATATCTGTTCAATGGGAGGAGAACAGAGTCTTCAACAAATGGTAGTGGGATTATTGGCTTTCACATGAAAAAGAATGAAATTGGACCCCTACTGCACACCACAGACAAAAATTAACTCGAAATGAATCAACAAGCTAAATATAAAAGCCAAAAGTAAACTCTTAGTAAAAGCATAGGATTAAATCCTCATGACCTTGGAGTTGGCAATAGATTCTTAGCTCTGGAAAATAAAAGCATGAGGAGCAGGAGAATAAACACAGATCAACTGAATTTCATCCTAATTAAAAAATGTGCATCAAAGGGCCTTAACTGAAAAGGCAACCTGCAGAATAAGAAAGTATTTGCAAATCACATATCTGATAAAGATTCAATATTCAAAATACATAAAAAATTCTTAAACAACAAAAAGACAACCCAATGTAAACTTGACAAAGGACTTACATAGGCATTTCTCCAGAGAAGATACACAAAGAGCTGATACACACATGAAAAGGTCCTCAGCATCTTTAGTCATCAGAGAAAAACAAATCAAAACCACAGTAAGATACCATTTCACACCTGAAGCCACATGCAAATGAGATACCAGGATGGCTACAATTTTTTACTATTTCCCTTTTTTAAGAAAGCAAAAAGAAGGAAAAAAAAGAACGTGGAGGACTTGGAACCCTGTGCATTGCTAGTGGGCATGTAAAATGATACAGCCACTGTGGAAAACAGTTTGGCAATTTCTCAAAAATCTAAACATAGAATTAACATATGACACAGCAATTCTAGCCCTAGATAAATAGCAAAAAGAACTGAGAGCAGGGACTCAAACAGATATTTGTACACCAATGCTCACTGCAACATTATTCACAGTAGCCAAAATGTGGAAACAACCCCAGTGTCCAACAATAGATGAACAGATAAACAAGCTGTGGCATACACATACAATGGAATACTATTCAACCATATAAAGGAATGAAGTTCAGATATCTGCTACAACATGGATGAATCTTGAAAACATACACTAAAGACAACAAGCCAGCCACAAAAGTACAAATATATGATTCCACTTACATGAAATATCTAGAATAGGCAAATTCATAGAGACAGAAAAACGATTCAAGGTTGCCAAGGGTTGGAGAAAGTGGTTTGGAAAGCATAATGGTTTCAGGGTTTCCATCTGGAGTTACAGAAAAGCTTTAGAAAGAGGTAGCTCCACTAGTGACACAACAGTATGAATGTAATTAATGCCACTGGAACACACACTTAAATGTAACCATATATTTAAAAATGGTTAAAATGACATAGTTTACATATCTTTTTTACCACAATAAAAAAATCTTAGAAAAGAAACTATAGAGAGGATATTTGGGTTTCTTGGCAAAAATCTGGGACTTGAATAAGAAAAAGTAGAATCTCTATTTTAACAAACAGCAAATCTTAGGAACAAATGAAGAGTTATATTTGATGATGGACAAACTGGGAACCTGTCTCTTTTATATGATAATTTAACAATGAAGTGACAGACGTTGGGTTAAAGAACTAGTTAGAGATGGGCAGAAGGTAAACAAATACGACTGAAAGACAGGTCGAGTATGCATTATCCAAAATGCTTAGAATCAGAAGTGCTTTGATTTTAGATTATTTTGGATTTGGGAATATTTGCATGTATAGGTGGAGCATCCCTACTCTGGAAATATGAAATCCAGAATGCTCCAATGAGTATTTTTCCTTTGAGCACCACGTCAGTGCTCAAAAAATTTCAAGTTTTGGAACATTCTGGATTTGAAATTTTTGGATTAAGAATACAACTTAATCTTTATTTTAAATCAAAGTTTAGAAGAGTCATTTATATGAACATTTTTTCACCTAACATTAATCTCATTTTTTTCTTTATCCATGGTCATATATTTGAGGTTTTTTTCTCTCTCTACAAAACATATATTATTTCTCACATATATATGATTCATGTGAGAAACTTTTGTTTAAATTTAAGATATAAATAATGTATTTGTGAGAATATACACATAACATACAACACATAAAATAATATGTGTGAGTAATAATATATATTAACATACAGTCATGCATTGCTTAAGGATGGAGATATGTTCTGGGAAATATGTTGTTTGGCGATTTTACTGTTGTGTGACCATCACAGAGTATACTTACACAAACCAAGATGGGATAGCCTACTATCAACCTAGGCTAGATGACACAGCCTATTGCTCCTCCGCTACAAACCCATACAGAATGTTACTCTACTGAATATTGTAGGCAATTGTAACACAATGGGATTTGTGTATCTAAACATCTAAACATTGAAAAGGTACAGTAAAAATACCATATTATCATCTTCTGGGATGACCACTGTATATGTGGTCCATTATTGATCAAAACATTATTACACAGTGCACGACTAGATAATATTATTTCTGACATATATATTATTGTGCTATCTATTCCTCTTCCAAATGTTCACTGGACACGTAACAGAATCGATATTACCAATATAAACTTGGTAATCAATATTGAGAGTTTACAAAAAAACTCACTAAATACAGTCCCTCTTCTTAAGTAGTTTATATGCCATGGATGACAAGTACACAAACAGCTATAACCCAATGACAAGTCGAGAAGTGAGTTTCATTGAGAGGTGAATTCTCAATGGCCAGGCTCACTCAGTAGCTAGTTGAGTGAAAAACACAAATCAGCATTTGTAATTCAGAAGGCAATTCAAATTCAGCAAATTACAAATGACCATAAAGAGCTTTAGGGTTACCTTGGCAAAGATCTGTTGTTTACCAAGATAAACAAGATATTTTAAAATTTCAGACTCCTTAATTTTTAAAGATACATGGCTTATCTTTTCTACTTAGAATTAAATATCTTTCAAAAGTTATTTCTGGTCTTCTAGAAGTTTCAGTCTTTGTGTGTATATGTGTATTTGTATATAAGACACGCTATTAACACACATGTATTAACACACATATATGAATAGCTGTCTTTCAAAAACAAGAAAGATGAAGGTTAACAGTTATCAATGAGAGTTAGCCTGAATATTTTAAAAACCTGTTCTTTCTAACTAGACACCAGCATTTGACAAGAGATGTCTAGTCAGAGGCCATAAAGTAGGAAAAGTGGGTGGTGGAAGGGAGAAGTATTATGGTATATGTGTTTTAAGAATGCTGATAGTCTTCTCCTTCCACACAGAATGAAAATGTGATCACTATGGTCTATTTTAAAGCTTTCTAAATTGTTCTGTATAAATACACTGTACACCTTGCCTTTCAACAATTCAATCTCAATGTAATTTCAGCATGTCCTTAAAATCTTACATTAAAAAATCACAAGATAACAACTAAAAGTGATGTAGGTTCACTTCTGGTAAATCTGTGAGTTCTCTGCCATGTCAAAAAAGAAAAAAAATTAAGCCCACCAGTAAATGATTACTGAAAAGACCACTTGCAGCATATGAAACAGATTATTCCTAAATGCTAGTACTCCCTCAGTATGGCTAAGAACGACTGCTCTAAAAACAGTATAACAATTCAGACTTTCATTCCATTACATTTTTTTGCTGAAGTTTTTATACAAAACAATTTAAAAATTAAAAAGTAAAATTGTTAGCAAAATTGAAACTAAGTTATATACTTCTACAGGTGCAAATGGTATGACTTTGTAATACCAAAAATATGAAGACAAAAAATTACTAAGTAGTCTTCCATATAATATAAAAAATAGAGAAAACTAAACTTTCCTTCAAGACTCCCACACAGCATGAAAGTTTGAGAATGTAAAGTCTTACCTAGTTTTCGTAAATACCCATAGGCAATGAAACACCAGACAGGGTGCTGCAGGTGTTGTAAGGTCCAATTGTCCGAAGTTTCTGTGACCACATTTTCCTCTCCCAAGTTGGGTCAAGAGCACTTTCTGCCAGTGTGAGCTTTCCACGGAAGGCAGTCACAGAGCATAGAAGCCTCTTCTATCAGTGTCCCTAATCTTGCCCTTTGTATGGGCCTCCACATTCTTCTTGTACGTCAGAACTACCCAGTGGAATGCAATTCTCGGTATCGGAATGTAAACTTATTCAAGTCAGCCTACACCCAGCAAGGGAATACACAGGAGTCAAGCAGATATTATACTGGTGGGCAATCCTAATTTACAAAATGATAAACATAATACTCCAATATATCAATTTTTCACACCCCTGTTTCCAGAAAATGATAGCCAGTTACTAAATTTTAGTTTCTTCCTTAAAAAAGTCTAAGTAACTGACTGGACTGATGATCCTAAATCAAAACCAATTTATTTGTTTAGGACTTACAAAAAAACCAATCACATAACACTGTCTTCAGACAGCAGAGTGGCAATTAAATTAGGGAGGAAAAGCTAACAAGTAACTGCTGATGCCATCAATTCCATTCTCAAAAATTGGTAACTTATATAAGAATAAATTTTAATATAAGTATAAAAGGAAAGTGGGTTGAAAGACTTTCCATAAAATACATGTAATATTTTCTTAATAAGTTAACTCATTAGTTTAGACCCCAAAAAAGTAACAGCTATGTTAAAAATCACACACACACACCAGATACATATATAAATTACATGTATGTGTGTAAACTGCAAACTGCTTCTAAAGCATGGACTTTAACCGGCTTGTATTTCAGAAGTATTGGGAAAACTGAACACACACTATACATCTCTAAATTTCTTTCAAGGCTCACTTAGAAACATTCTAACAATCATCACCCTACACAAATTAACAGAAGTTTGTTCCTCTGCAAAGTGGATCTCAACATTTAATCTCTGCTTATAAAAATAGAGTACACGATAAAAATTATTATACAATATGAAGGCCTTATAGCTGTGCTATTCCCCCTGTTCGTTCCTCAGTAGTTTGTTGTCTATTTAACAAACACTAAACATACTTAAGCTACTAACATTTTAATTCCATTAAAAAAAATTCTAACCTGCACTGTCTTCAGTATCTTTGAAGTACCACTAACAGCAATAGTGCTGTCATCTTCTATAGGAGCTCTTTTCTCTGCAGCACTGAGCACTCCCCATTTCCCTGTGTGTTTTCTCCCAGTGAGTCCATGCGCGCGGCGTAGCTTGTACAGAGGCCAACATTCCATCTGACGGCTAATTTCCTGCTTCGATGACCCACCCACCTCTCCTGGCTGCAGCTATGTGTCTCGCATGTTGTATGGGTACTCTTTTTGCATACCAGCCTCATGACCTCAGCGGCTGCCTGACAGACACTCTTTATCAATTTTTATTAATTCATTATCTACTCTCTTGTAAGTGAAGGGCAAGTAGGGAAATCTGCAATGTCTGCTCTCCTCTGTCTTCAAGGTCAAATGCTTCGTGCTGGCAATACAATTTTGTTATTAAAATTTACCCAAGCTGTGCTACAAACTAGTTGCTCTCCGCCAAAGAGATGCTGAACTGTATACCTGGCCTGGGGGATTATCATGGAAAAGACTAGAATAAATTTAAATCAAACAGCATGGGAAAAGTTAAAAGAGGCAGATTTGCTCTCATTTTTCCCTTCAAGAGAAAAAAAGGTGGCTCTTACCTCAGCTGTATTGGGGTGAAGAGAGCAAGCAGTTTTTCTCTCTTGCCACAATCTAAACCAGCAAAGATCAGTGGTGTGATGACTACACTTTGGTAGTGTCTATGTCCTCGTGACCAAACTGCTAGAGAACAGCTCAGCTAAATTAATCTGCTGCTATCAGTCTACACAGTGGCACAAACAGGTCTCTGCTGATCACAGTGCTTTGTACACAGATGGCAGCTGATCAGCTTGTATAAAAGTTATGGTCCATAACAGCTTTTCCTTTCAGCATGTAGACACATGCCCGTCCAATATACTTTTGTTAAATGTTCACCATTGCAGTGTGCAAAGCTGGCCATGTATGAGTTGTATAGACAAGGAAGCTTAGCTCTAATATCTTATTTTCAAATGGCCTTATTTTTTATAAAATTCATTCAAGAAGTAAAATAAACAATTACATTAAGAAATAACCAAACAGATCTATGTAACATATTAATGAGAAAAATGGCAGATGAATATAATGAATGATTCAGATTGGCCCTAAGCAAGTAAGAACTTGAACTGATCTCAAGAATCACAACTAAACATCTGCTATTCTTTAAAGCTCTATGTTAATGGCATCAAAACCTAGCCACTAACCTGCCCAAAAATTGGCACATACCGTAAGAGAAGTTGAAATGGTAAGTATGTCTTTGTAAGATTGAACCTCAACAAAAATTCAGGTCACTTGAAAAATACTGCATTCATAATTCTTGGAAGTTAAAATAACACATGTCCAAGAAAGGAAAAGCATAAACTCATACACATATATAATCTTTTACAAAGATATCAAGTAATAAAATGGCAACTGATTTAATTCATCTGAATTAAATGTGGACTCTTCTCATGAGCCCGTACTTATTTTGTAAGTGAAAGACTGTTCTAATTCTACCAATAACTAACACTGGCAATATTGCTTAACCTTTGTTTCAGAGCTTCCCCCTTATAGACTGAAGTGGTAAAAACCTATTATTTATAATCAAAATATAAAATACTTAGGAATAAATACAATGAAGAATGTGTATGATCTGTATACTAAAAACTACCAAAGGGAACTTAACCTTGCAAAGGGAAATTCTAGAAAACTTAAATGGAGAGAGTTCACGGTTTGGAAAGCTCAATATTGATAAGATAGTAATCTTTCCCAAGCTGATCTACAGACTCAGTGCAATTCCAACCAAATCCTAACGAACATTTTTTTGGCACTGATAACCTGGTTTAAAATTTATATAAAAAGGCAAGGACAGAATAAAAACAAGCAAGAACAAAGTCAGGGATTTACGCTATATGACTTCAAAAGTGACTATAAAGTTACACAAATGAAGATAGTGTGGTACTGGTGGAAGAACTGACATGTAAAGCAATGGAACAGAAGAGAGATTCCAGAGATAGATCTAAACAAATATTTCATAGTTAAATAATTTATTTTTACAATTAATTGATTTTAAACAAACATGCCAAGGCAATTCTATAGATTAAAAATATTCTTTTCAATGAAGTATTCTAGAACAACTGAATATCTGTATGAAGAAATGTAAATCTCAACCCTTACCTCACACCACACACAAAAATTAAATCAAAATAGATCTCAGACCTAAATGGAAGAAGTAAAACTATTACATTTCTAGAAGAAAAACTGAGGAAACCTTTATGACATGAGGTTAAGAAAAGATTTCTTAACAAGGACACTAAAAGTACAAAATATTAAAAAACAGGTTGACAACATGGACTTCATTAAGATTAAAAAAGCCTTAGCTTTCAAAAACACAGAGTTTTTATTTATTTTTTTTTAAGGTGCATGTTAGATTAGGAGGAAATTTTTGCAAAATATAGCCAACAAAATAATTGTATCCAAAAGATTGCTTACACAACTCAAAAATAAGACAAACAATCCAATTTTTTAAAACAGCAAAAGAGGTGAACTGACACTTTGCCAAGATACAGAAATGGCCAACAAACACATGAAAAAATTATCAACATTAATCTTCAGAGAAATACAAAATAAAAACCACGGTAAGAATACTGCCGCATATCTACTAGAACAGCTAAGATGAAAAAGACTGACAATACCAAGCGTTGACGAAGATGTGAGGCAAACAAAAATCTCATAAACTGCTAGTGTGCATAAAAAATGTTATAGCCACTGTGGAATACAGTGTGGGAGTTCCTTATACAGTTAAATACACATTTACCATGTTATCCATCAATTTCACCCCAGGTACCTTTCCAAGACATTAAGGAAAGCATATCACCCACACAAACAGACATTTGTGAATGTTCATAGAAGCCAAAATATGAAAGCAACTCAATCATTTTCAAATTAATGTTTTGTGAAAGATTAATATTGCCTCATTTACAAAATTCGGTAACTTTATAAATCTGGCATTCACTTTATGTAAGGGTTGACAACATATTGCATGGCTGGCTAAAATAGACCATGAGACATCTCTGCACTGGGTTGGGCAGTACAGCAAAATTTTAAAGTTTTCAAATTCTGTTCCTGTTTGTTACTTTCTGACATAGCTGTAAGTACTCTTCTTTTCCTTCAGTATTCTATTTACCCAACCTCCACCTACCCTACCCTGTATCTACAATCTTTCTCAGGAACCCAGGTTATCTCTTTATATCCCCTGTAGCTCCCATCTATTTGTCAATGCATTAATTAAACATGCCTAAAATCAAGTATCTTCATTTCAACTCTGATACCCACCTACCTCATTCCCTCCAGATTTGGTTATAGCTGTCAAAGTAATTGCTCTATAGACATCCAAATTCAAAGAACGGAAGCCATTTTTTACTTTTTTTCTTCCCTTGTCTGTAACCTTCAGTCACTAAATTCCACCAATTAGCCCTTTTAAATTATTCTCCATCAACTTCTTTTTCCATGGAAATACTATTCAGGCCCTTAGCTTTGGCACACAGAGACCATTAAGATAAGGTTCCTATTTCTGGTTTCAACTTTACCAGATCTTCCAGGGATTCTCTTCTTCTATTGATCTACCTTTAAAACAATTACACATCGATTTTAAAGTCATTCACCTACAGCCTCTCTGTTTGAATCTGATTAACCACCTGCTGGTATGCTTTTAAAACAAGAGAGTCCAAGGTCCAACCCAGATGTGGCAAACCAAAATCTCCAGGGCGTGGGACTCAGCATTTTGCCCATCCTAAGCCAGGCAAATGTAATAACTGCCTGGTTTGAAAACCTCTACCTTGGGCAATTACTTTGAAAGTCTTGCCCCATGTCATCTTCAAACCATCATTATTGCCAAACACAAGGACTCTAAAGTCTTTTCTATATACTGTCCCACAAGCACGTTCTTAGAAAAATTAAAATTCATGTTTCTTGGGCTTGAATGGTAATCAAGCAGCTCTTCTCTACTATATTTGAAAGACTAAAATTACTTTATGTTCTAACATAATCAATGAAAAAAAATCTGTTTCAGTCACAATGATGCTTTCAAACACAAAATTTCCTATACATAAGAGATTTTAGAAGTTCACTTAAATGGGGCCAGACATGGCAGTTCACACCTGTAATCCCAGCACTTTGGGAGGCCAAGGCAGGTAGACCACTTCAGGCCAGGACTTCAAGACCAGCCTAGCCAACATGGTAAAACCCCATCTTTACAAAAAATACAAAAATTAGCCGGGAGTGGTGGCACATGACTGTAATTCCAGCTACTCAGGAGGCTGAGGCACAAGAATCACTTGAGACCGAGAGGCAGAGGTTGCAGTGAGACAAGATCACACCACTGCACTCCAGCCTGGGTGTCAGAGCGAGACTCTATCTAAAAAAAAAAAAAATCACTTAAATGGGATAATGGCTATAAAACCTGGAATACCTTATTCAAAGCCAATTCCTTCGTTTGTGTTCCCAAAATTATGTAAGTTAAAATTCAAGATAAGGTGAAAAGAAGTAAACGGAAATGGTCTCATGATTCTGAGTAATAACTAAATTATTATCATGGACTATATCCATCACGGCAAGAAAAGAGGGAAACATATATGTCTCTGATACATACATGCTAGAATATATACACGTTCATCCTAAAATATATCTGATTTAGCCTAATGAAATGGAATTTCTCAACTTGAGGTTTTTCTATGTGTAAAACTGAATTAAGTCTGCCTAATGACTATTTTCTAAATTCACCCTAATGAACCATAAAATAATAATAATAAAACACAAGAATGTGTTTGACAAATTTTAAATTGCCCTCATTTTTAAAACTATCTGAAAATGTTTAATACCAAAGTTATCTTAAGGAAATTACACTTAAATTCTAAGCAATTTCTAGTTATAAAACTCGAAAAGGTAAGCCATCAATTAAAGATAAGGTTAAGATTACCTTGAAATAATCTGACTCAAAAAAAGTAGATAAAAGTATAACCAAGAAAATAATGATTTAATGTTTGTGTAGCTCTCTAAACACATGAATAGTCAATAGCAGAAACTCTATTTTCTATTTAATAGCAAAAATATGTAACCCCTATAAAGCCATAAGAAACATCTAAGACAATAATTTAAATATTTTGGACTCACAATTCAAAATACTAATTGGTAATAAAAAATAACTGCAGATCCTTTTAAAAACCACATGACATTTAAATTCTTACATTTAAAAAAGCAATAATATAAATATCTAAGCTATAGTCCTTCACTTTATTATTTCAACAAGTACTGTCAAAAAATTTATAATACATGGAAAAAATCAAGTGGGTACATAATACAGAATAAAGTCATCTTTAACATTTCAAAATATGATTTTGTTGTCTTCAAAATATATATATATATATATATACACACACACATATTCAACTCATAATAAGAAGGTCCCTGAACTATGATTAATTGGATATTTTTATCTTAATAATGACATTCCAATTTCCCAGAGTATAATTTGCATCACATATCAATCTTCTTTTAACCATACTATTACTCTTGTTATTTTCTGTTAGTGACCCCAATACAGAGAGTACACTTTCTTAAACAAAAACAAATTTAGCTGCTCTATTATTTTAAGATACACCCTGAATTCATACAAGTGAAACAGTAACTCACACATCCCTCTGTCCCTTCTCCAAAAACAACCGGAACACAGACAAGAGTTAGGAGTTCCTGAGCACTTAGCAGTGGGTAACCAACTGAAACATCTTCCAGAGAAAAACAATACTGTGTTTCATTGACACAAACATCAGACTCTAAAATCTTTATGAAATATAGTATTATTTATTTCTTCACGAGAAATATAAACATCACTGCAAACAGGACTTCTGGGATGAACTATCACACACTCATTTATAGCAAGGATCACAAACAATGCCCTAACTGAAGACTTTTAAGCATCAGGTGACCTGGGGAACTCCATCAACTATACACACAAAAAATATCACAGTCCTTCT